GCTATCAGCCTGCTATCAGCCTGCTATCAGCCTGCTATCAGCCTGCTCCTCCTGCTATCAGCCTGCTATCAGCCTGCTATCAGCCTGCTATCAGCCTGCTCCTCCTGCTATCAGCCTGCTATCAGCCTGCTATCAGCCTGCTATCACCCTGCTATCAGCCTGCTATCAGCCTGCTATCAGCCTGCTATCAGCCTGCTATCAGCCTGCTACCAGCCTGCTATCAGCCTGCTATCAGCCTGCTATCAGCCTGTTATCAGCCTGCTCCCCCTGCTGGCAGCCTGCTTTGCAGAGGCAGTAGCTCTTCAGCCCAATAACAGAGACCGGTTCCCACCCTCTGAGCAGCGAGTCCATCTCATCAGTAATAGTACTGTAACTGCTTATTAATATTGTGCATATTTATTCCTCGACTTATATTTATGCCGTTTCCGTCACAAATGTTGGCGCCTAACTGGTCCCGCACGGTTCCACGGATCAGGCCCAAAAAAGACACTCGTGTCAAAACCGACCACGGGCTGAATGCTGGTATTTCTCTGTCTCATTAGTCCTGGTGTTTTCAAATAAACAGACAAAAAGGCCAAAAGACATCCCATAGGAAATGAATGGGAACCCAAAAAACAGGACCAAAACATAGGCCGCTCAGCCTCACGACCTCCAAGAAACCCCTTTCCAACATCTACAAACTCAACAGTATGCAGAAAGGGAAACTGGTGGGCTGGACCTCAAGGATGCCTTGAGATCCAGCAGCTCCCCACAGGAGGAACGTGTCCAGCGGCCAACACCTCGCTCTGCTGGACACATGGAGAAACGCTGTTTGGAGGAAGCAGAAGAAAGAGGGGCTTTTCCCCCTCATCCATCTGTCTCTGTCACAGACATCAGTTCAGAAAGTGAGGAAAAGCCTGTCAGGGCGTCCATCGTCGATCCTGTAAGAAACGGGACACTCCGCTCCTGAAAGGCACCTGGGTGGGGGGGCCTGGCCCCCTAAAAGGAGACCTGCTGTGGTCTGGATCTGGACCAGCCCCCTCTGGGCGCCCCCTCCCCCCCCACACCCATACCCTGAAGCTGTGACTCAGCCCGTTTGGCCCTGGGGGGCTGCGGATGCTCAGAGGGCTCAGTCCTGCTCTCCCTGCCGGGGGGGGAGGCTTTCTGGGGGCTGAATCTTGTCTGGGAGCGGCGCCCCCTGCTGGTCAGAGTTTGTTTTAGATCCACGAGCCTCAGCGGGGTGTCACTGACCGCTGAGGTGAGTTTGACATAAAGGTCCAGATGGGGGCAGAGCCAGAGGACTGCCAGCAGGGGGGGCAGGCTGTTTTTGGGCTTCAGGAGGAAAAACAAAAACAGAAAAACAAACATTTCACCATTCAAGGCTTCTGTCCTTCCTGTTTTCTGCCTTCAGGGTTC